GTACTTACAAAGTTGGTGTGGTGTGAAAATAGAAAAAGAGAAATTTCTGTGGCTCTTTCAGTTTTACTCTTTTTTCCCTTATTTAGAAAAATAAAGTCCACTGAAATTTCTTTTGTCTGGGGTGCCTGCATGGCTCAGTTGCTTAAGCATCTCTCTTCCCAGTGTGGGGTCCTGGGATTGAACCCCTATTGGGCTCCATGCTCAGTGGGGAGTCTGCTTCTCCCTCTGCCTACTGCTTCCCCTGCTTGATGGTCTCACTCGCTCTCTCTCAATGAATAAATAAAAAAATCTCTTTTTAAAAAGACTTTATTTATTCATTTGAGAGAGTGAAGAGAGATAGAAGAACACACAATCTGAGGGGGGGTTGGGTGTTGGCTGGTGGCAGAGGGAAAGGGAGAAGCAGACTCCCGCTGAGCAGGGAGCCTGATGTGGGGCTCAATCTGGGACTTTGAGACTATGACCTGTGCTGAAGGCAGACGCTTAACCAAACTGAGTCAAGCATGTACCCCAATAAACAAAAAAAAACAAAAAAAAAAATTTTTTTTTTTTTTTTAAAGAAAGTTCTTTTGTCGAAAAACTACCAGAGAAAGAAAGGAAATGTTTAATAAAATGAAGATGTCTCATTATGCATTCGGGGCAAGGCCATGTGCCCTAAGAGGCTGCCTTAGCAACCAGAAACACTTCACCCTGCGCTGGGATTATAACACCCCAGAGGCTGCAAAGAGAAGCTCACAGCAGCCACACAGCAGCAGCCACTGGCCAGACCCTCGGTGAAGGACTGTATACAGTGGCGACAGTTATCAGCACCAGCTCTGAGTTAGCAGGCCTATGTCTGAGCCGGCTCTACCACCTGCTAGCTGGGTGCACTCGGGAAAGTCCTCTGACGTTCTGAGCCTCAGTTTCCCCTTTATCTGTACATGGAGATAACCAAACAAGGTTCTGGCAAGGGCTAGGAAAGCCGTCTACAGAAACCACTTAACAGGGCTGACCCTGCAGGGGTCTGGGGATGCTGCCTGTTGTTAATGCTTAACTCATGTCCTCTACCCTCTGTAGCCACTAGGGACCCAGCCCTGTGAATTTAGCTCAGATGGAGTTTAAAGGCTCGGGGAGAAGACAAGCAAGCTGAATCACCCACCAGGAGAAAAGGCCTGGGGGGAATTTCAGAGCAGGGAGAGGAGGTCCCAGCCCACACCAAAAGGCCACTCTATTTCTCTCCCCCTTGGAAGACGACACACCCACTTGCCACAAAATAAAATATGTGAGGATCAGAAATGAGGTTGCTTTGAGAAGGCTGATTACACAAACATACAAATGAAACATTTTTGTTACAATTAAAAGTCCTCATTAAATTAAGATAAATTACTTTCCTACTACAAAGTAGTTAGGCTTTTCCACTCAAGGCAAAACCAGTTACATGACTTTAAAATTGTCAGGTTACCGTATTAAAGAGAAAACCACTTGAGCTCTGGCCCTCGCCCTAATGAATGGATGAGTCTCAGAATACACATTTGTGTTGTTGCTGGTTTTGTTGTTTATTTATTCTGGAATTTGGCCAGAGGAAGGGGATTTCAGTAGTGGTCTCAATCAAACCCATGGCAATTTGGAATTATTACATCGTGGAGAGAGTCAAGATAATGCTTTGTTTCACAAACGTAGAAAAAGAAGCTAATATAATTTTATCTAGAAAGTCTAAATAATGAAAATTCAGTAAATCCATTCCATGAAAATGAGCTTCTTTATTAAAAAAAACAAAAACAAAAACTAAAATTTTGGTGGCCCAAAGGAAAAGCTGTAGGTAACAAAAAAATCCTCTGCTCTCTACCCGGTCTCCAACCTGTGGGGGGTGGGTGGTGGTGGAGTGTAACAGGCTTTTCTTGATAACAGGTTAGTGATTTGAACCTTATGGCCTCTGAGATTCCAAGATGAATGCTTTTAAATATGAACAGATACTTGGAAACTCTGAGTAACTAGTCATAAACAATGCCTCTGCTGAGTCACATAGCCTGATTTTTCAGGGATAACAAATTCCTCCTGAACATTGCCTTTTGAGGAGCAAACTTGTTGCACCAGCAATTGCCCTCACAGCTCTGTAGAAGCTAGATAAGGACCTCTAATCAGGTAAGACTCCAATCAACGTCACCTGAGAACAGCTCGGCAACTATAAATAACTTGATTTCCTGTGCTCAGTGTAAGTGGCAGTTGTGACTGAAGGGTTTTCTTGTGTTTGTTTGTTTTTTTTTAATTTGTGAAGGAGGCTTCTGCTATGTTGTATTACCTCCAGCTGATGAGAAAGTAACTCTTAAAGCAAAAGGGAAATTTAGTCTCATCTCTGCCCTAGGGGGACACTCTTAATCCTATGAGAAAAGGCCTTACTTCACTATTTTTGTATCTTAACTGCTTGGGAAAGTGACCCATCTAAAACAAGGCAGGTTTCCAGGGCTCAAATCTCTGAGCCATGGCAGGTTTTATGACGTTCGTACTGACTGCACCCCCACACTGGGCAATGCGCCTACTTGTCAAGACCTGGGGACCTTGGGACAGGGACCCACAATGATGAGAGTCTGACCCAGGCAGGCTGTCCTCAGGACAGGACCGGTGGCTGGTGAGGGCTTAGTGCCAATCAGTTATGTCGAAAAAGACCAGAGGTGACACAACCAGTCATAAGCATGAGGAAGTTACAAAAGTGAAAGAAATGTATGGTTTCTATACTCAGAGAGCTCCAGGGCCAGAGCTCGCTGTTGTGTAAGGCACCCCCCCCCAACTGTTCATTCAGCACTTCCTTTTATTTATTTTTTATAATTCTATTTTTAAAAAAGATTTTATTGATTTCTTTGGCGAAGAGAGCACAAGCAGGGGGAGCGGCAGGCCTGACATGGGGCTTGATCCCAGGACCCCAAGATCATGACCTCAGCTGAAGGCAGATGCTTAACTGACTAGGCCTCCCAGTTGCCCCTCAGCACTTCCTTTTAACCAGACTTTTAACCTCATAAAAGGACTGAGTTTTACTTCTGTTTCCCAGGCCCCACTCTAAAATACTTTTTGCTACTATTCACTAAAAAAACAAAACAAAACAGAACTACAGGTTCACAATGTCTTCTTGGAAACCCTTGGGGCCAAACAGGTTTCAGAATTCAACATTTTTGGATTTTAGAAGGGTGATAAGTTGCACAGGCCCTTGAGTCTGTAATCACCAGAGTAACAGCCGTCAACCAAGCCATTCCCAGGCTGCAGAGAAATGTGTGAATATTCACAATGAGAGGAACACAGATGGAAAACAGCCTCCCATCAGCCAGGGCAGGCCTTCCCGCCAAATGAATTCTGCCACAACCTTAAAAAAAAACAACAACAACAACAAAACAAAAACAATTTTCAGTTTTTGGAGTTTACTGGGTCCTCGAATTGGGGGTACAGTGGGGCACCTCAATCAAAGCCCGGTCCAGACTCTCCTGTGTCTTATCTCCACAGCACCTCTATGAAGAACGCTTCTCAACCAGATCCAATCCACGGATAAGGGTTAATGGAACCTGGCAGCCAGTGCCACGGAGATCCCATGTTACTTCTCCTCATTCCTCTGATGGCCTGTCCCTCCCGTTCCCACATCCTGATTCTCCATGTTTACTCTTTCTTCAGTCAAGGGCTCCCTGCCCAGCTCTTGGTCCCTTGGAGCTCGACTCCTGCCCAGGGCTAACAGCACCCTGCTCTTGCCATCTATGGTTTGCCTGGGCGACTCTGCAGAACACCAGCATCTCCCAGCAAGCTCCTCGTCCTTCCTCCTTCTGAGGGCCCTTCCCTGCTGGTGATGCACAGATGTCTCCGTAGGCTCCCAGACCCCCAGACACCAGCCAGGTGAAGGGGTAGGAACCAGCTCCAAAGGTCTGGCTTATGGCAGGAACTTTAAACCAGGCAACAGAGGAAGCACACTAACCCAGACATTAAAAATATCCACCTGACAGTACTCAACAAGGAAAGTAACCTTCAAGCGTGGATTCATCAAAGTCTATTTCTATGCTTCTCCCTGGCATTTACCAGGAAGCTCCCCAAGGTTAGGGCAGTCTTATTTATCTTGGATCCCCCGCAAATACCCAGTAGATGATTAATTTCTGCCTGATGAAGGAGTGATTGTGTCCGGGTCACACTTCTATCAAGGCTCCCCAAAAAAACTGGGTGAAATGAAAATCTCCATAGGGTCTCTGTGCAGTACTGACCTCATGGTTCTTTTTCAAAGTGCACCCTTTTGTCTTTATATATTTCCATTCGCAATCACAAGCTGCCCGAAAATGGGTAATTACAAACCTTCCCCACCTTACCCCCTGTCCAGTTTTAATGTCCAACTATCCCCACATACATGATCCCAGTCCTGGGTGGGTACTGAGCTGGATAATTGCAAAATCCCACTCATGGAGGATCCTGCCAAGCCCTGGAGACTCCAGGAGAGCAGCCAAGGTGGATTCGGTGACCCGGGACCATGGAGGTATTTGGAGCAATCAGGCTCAGCCCCACTAGACCTAAAATCCAAAGCGGGATAAGTACTCCAAACTACCCCGGCCGCTGGTGGTACCAGCCTCAGGGTGAGGGCACCGACTTCGGGCACCAGTTCCCAGGTGCCATATATTGTAAAACACCAAACTAGCAGCTGCGACGGAAACTCTCGACCACGCGCCGGCTGGGCTGAGCCCGTCCCAGGCCGCCACTGCAGGGGCAGGGGAGCGACCGAGTTTCTTTCGGTCCCAGCGAGGGGCGGCTCGGTCCGCGACAACGAGTTTTCCGGCTCGTAGGGAGGACCGCGCACACCGGACCGCGAACGCACAGACAGCAGAGCCCGCTCCCGCCCGCGCATCCTCGCGTGGGGACGTTCACTGCAGGGAGTGCCGGCCACGCGGGGCACACCCCGCACTTCCCCGGGCACAGAGGGCAGCGGCGGAAGGTGCCTACTGCCCCGGGGGCCTCAGAACGGCAACCAGGAGCAAAGCGAAAGTTTCGACAACGTGTTTTCCTCTTACCAGTCTCTGAGCTTCTGGGCTCAGACAGTCTATTTCCTTGTTCTGCGTGGCCGCGGGGTTGGTCATCCTGCCCAGCGATCAGTCCGCCTTCTCGAACAACCCGGGAAGAGACTCGCTAGAGTTGTTGGATCCGCGGGCCGGCAGGCTCTCAGCGCCGCCGCATGCCCGGAGTGGCGGGATTACTGTTCCCGGAGACACAGCGCGCGTCGCAACGGGGACTCGCCCTTCCCAGAGCAGGGGCGCGCCTCCGCCTTTCCCGGGCTCGGGCGCGGCCGGGGCGGGGCGCAGGTGGCTGGGGCGGGCGGGGCCGGGGGCGGGGGCACCCGGGGACCGAGGAGCCTGGGCCGCCTCTTGAGCGTTCCGCCCCCCGGGGTCCCCCACCCAGCCGCCCGCGCGCCCCGCCCCCGGGGATTCTCCCCCACCACCCCCTCGCGCTCTCTCCCAATCCCGTGCGCCCCGTCCGGACCGCCCCGAGCCCATGCTGCGCGGTTATCAATCACCGCCCAACCCCCTCCCGCAGACACCGGAAAGGCGGAGGTGGGGGGAAGGGAGGGGAAAGAAAAGACCACAGCCGGCCCCGCCCACAACCCCGCCCCGGCTGCGCGCCCAAAGTCGGGGAAGGGCAAGTTGAGGGGCCTCGGGGAGAGGGGGCTCGCGGGAGCAGCCCACGCGGCGCAGGAGTCTGCTTGGGGAGGGGCCTGTGCGGGTCTGCGCGGCGGTAAGTCCTCTGGGGCGGGGCCTGCGCGGGGGCGGGGCGAACTGCCGCCCGGACCCCGCCCCCGGCCCGTCGGTGTCCAGCCACCCGCGGCTGCCGCCCGGCAACGTCCACCAAACTCCGGCCAGACTGAGCTGTGTTGCCGCAACCTCCGCCCGAGCACAGCAGTACCTGCCGGCGGGGGTACCCCGTTAACGCGTCACCCCGAGAAGGGCCGGCTTCTAGAACCCCAAAACTGCGCCGCCCGCGCCCGCCTCCCGCTCAGGAAGCCCGCGCAGCAAAGAGCCGGGGTGCCAGCGGTTCGGCGTGGATCCGGGGGGCTGCGCGTCCCAGGCGCGGCCGCGAGGACGGTGCGAGGCAGGGGCCGAGCCGGGAGGAGCGGAGTCGCCCCCGCGTGGGAACCGGCACCGGCCCCCCAGCACGCGCCTCCTCCAGCCGCAGGACACGCGTACCTCCTTCTTTAAAAGTCCAAAGGGCAGCGCAACGCCACGTTTCCCGACCTCGCCAGTCTGGGGCAGATTTTCATCGAACACTAACCCGTCCTGGCCAGGCCCTGTGCCCGCTGTACCTGCAGCCTGACTGCGCGCCCTCCTGCTACCCTGTCTTGACTTTGCCCTCCTACCCAGAAGCTCCTTCTCAGAAAGACCACCTCCCCGCCTCAAAACCCGCCCCTGAGCACAAGACTTCGGAGGAGGGCGCTCCTAAAGGAAGGGGTTAACTCAGGGTGGGCTGGCAGAGGAAGTCTCGGAAGACCGGACCTAGTTGAGAGAGTAGGAACCAGAGAATAGAGATGCCAAGTAGATGTCTGGAGTGACCCCCGTGGGAGGAATTCACCAGGCTTTAAGGTGAACACACGCCGAGCCTTCCAAGCTTTGACGGATAGCATCGTTAGGTTTGCCAAAATAACTTTCAAAGAGATTGAAATGCTTACCTTTTAATATCTGTTTTCTTGCTATACCTCTTTTTAAATATGTTAGTGTATTACAATTCTTAATTCTTGGAAGTTAAATTCACTGGAGAAAATAATTTTAAACTCTTCTGCATAAACAAGAACAGAACTTACGGAATTTATCATGGAAAGCAATAATAATTTTAGTAGTAACTTCACAGATGAGAATGACAGAAAATAAAATAGCCTTCTTTGAGACTTCAGTTTGAATATTCCAGTCTAGGTAGGCGAATCCTGAGCTACTAGCCTTCCTAAACCCTGTAACCACATCTTCCAGAGCAGGGCACAGGGAACAGGCTTCATTTGCTAGAAGGCATCTGCATTCTCCCCAAACCCTAGGCCACCATCCAGTCTCTAGGTATCAGCTCCATTAAACCACGCAGGGAAGGGGCTCTGGAATTAAAGCACCTGGTTCAGGGACCTCTGGGTGGCTCAGTGGGTAAAGCATCTGACTCCTGATTTTGACTCAGGTCCGGATCTCAGGGTCCTGCGATCTAGCCCAGCAGTGGGCTCTGCACTCAGCAGGGAGTCTGCTTGTCCTCCATCTGCTTCCCCACTCCCAACCCCCACCTCAAATAAATAAATAGAATCTTTTTTTTTTTAAGATTTTATTTATTTGACAGAGCAGAAGCAAGGGGAGCAGCAGGCAGAGGAAGAGAAAGAAGCAGACTCCCCACTTAGCAGGGAGCCTGATGTGGGAACTGATCCCAGGACTCTGGGATCATGACCTTAGCTACAGACAGGAAGCTCAACCAACTGAGCCCTCCAGGAACCCCAATAAATAAAATCTTAAAAAAAAAAAAAAAACAAAACACCTGGTCCAATTCCTGGTTCTGGCACTCTGAGATTTAGAGCTGGTTGCTTAGCCCTGTGTCTCAAGCTTCATCTGAAACACGCCAGTGGTAATGAGAGTGCCCCCTAGTAGCACCTCCGGGTGTAGGGGAGGAGCACGGGCACCCATGCGCAGACCCCACTGAGCAGCCCTGCTAGAAATGGAGACCAACACTGCTGGCCAGCTACTCTCTTCCCTTCGTCGCCAGAGTCCCTATCCAAGGCTCCCAGGCTCTCCTATCCTCCTCCCCTACAGCAGAAAGGAAGTGGGGCAACGACGGGTTCAAATGGCTGAGAAATACCAATGACCAGCGAAGCCTCGGGAAGGGCTGGCTGCAGAAGCTGTGGGTGGCAAGACACCATCAGGGAGTAAGAAGCAGCTAGCTGACTGCTTTTAGTCCTAGGAACAAACTAACGATACCAGCAATAAAATAATAATAGTTAGTGCCCAGGAGATTTCTTATTCCACAAAATGGTAGCCCATTAGAGAAACCTGCTGTTCTAACATCCTTCCAGATGGGAAGATGCTGCGCCTGAGTGTGTCTTAGTCCAGTCGGCCCTGTGAGATGGCCAAGACTCAGAACCCTTCCCAGCCACAGGCAAGTGTCAAAGTCTATCATAAGAAGAGCCCTGAATCCTGCTTCTTGGTGTTATCATATAGATCCCGGGGCCCAAGAAAAACGTGTAAAGGGTCTATGTAGTTGCCATCTGTTAATTTTGATGATACATGGGTCTCTAACGGAAAGGACCCCTCAATGAAGACCCTTCTGCAAACAGGCTTTTTTTTTCTTTTTTTAAACTCATAGCAAGGCCACTTATGAGGGATGATTAATTAGTAACTGGAACCTACAAACTTGTTTTTGGAAAGTTCACAAAGACATCAAAGTTGGGTGCAGCTATGAAAAGTGACGTGCCTTAGAATGGGACACACTCCAAGACACATTTTCCCAGTGCTCACAGCTCGAAAGACAGCTTGGCACAGTAGTAGACACCCTTTCCCTTGAAGAAGACAGAAATAAACCCTCCTGAGAGTGTCAGGTGAGAAGGAGGACTTAGGAAGCCCGAGGTTTCTATCCTCAGGAAGTTTAGCAGGATAAACCCAGGGTGTCTTGGAGAGGGCTGAGTGGCATGGGGTGGGGTGCTCAGGAACAGGACAGCCCTCCGCCTAGCCGGGGCCAGTGCTCCCCCGGGGTCCTTATATGAGGAGCTGTGAGGTTAAGGCCACTGGTTCACTTTCCCAGTTCTACCCCCTGTTGGTCAGGGTGCCCCTTGTAACAGGTCGACTGCGAGTTTCCCGCTCCTTCCCAGCTGCCAGGCTTGGGAGCTCTGTACAGAGGAAGCGCTGTGGGTTTTGTGAAAGCTGGGTATTGTCCTAGGCGTTCCTAGAAGCCACCAAGCTTGGGATCCTCTGTGCCCTCTCAACAAAAGTTAAATGTCCAACATCTAAAAGAAGAAGTTCTCCAATGTACAACAAGATTATATGCAGGGACTTAATTTCTTCAGGGACCTCTGAGAAAACCAAGGGTAAATAGAGCTGTCTTACTTAGTTCTGGGAACCTCAGAATCATAGCTAACCAACATGCCAGAACATTTAACCAGCGAGACCACACCCAAGCTTGGTTTACTCATCTCCATGGTGTTGGCCTGTTGCTGGATTCGAGCTTCGCCTCCTCCTGTGGTTTGGTTCAAAATGCTAGAACCACAGAGACAAACCCTTCCTGGGATCCCAGCAGAGAGCAGAGGGCAGATGGTGGGGGTGGGGGAGGCGCTCTCAGCCTCCCCTTTGGTCAAATGACAGACACCGAGCCATTTTTCTAAGTCACACCCGTAACTGTTGTTTTCCATGAACATGAATCACTATTCATATTGATTACAACAAAATAAACAACTCCAAATACTTCTACAAACGATGAGCTTATTATTATTATTTAACTTTATATGGATCCTTTTGACTAATATCACAGAACACCTCATGTTAAAAAGCTGTTTCATGAGATGATGATACAGTCCTGGGCAGCCCCTTTCCACTTACAAAGCACTTTACACACAGAGGCCCATGAAGGTCGTGTAACTTGTCTGCAGACCCGAGTTGGAAGAGTGAGGCTGGGCTCACTAACCCAAGTCCCCACTGCAAGTCTGAGACCTTAGGATAATGTGTACAGCCTTGTCCCCACTCCCAGACACCACCCAGGGGTCCCCACTTCCAGCCACCACTCAGGGGTCTTGACTGAAGAGAGAGTCAACAGAAAGGCTAGGTGGTGCCCTCCGTGGTCCCCCAGCCTTAGCCTGTACCAGTAAACCCATCATCCCCTCCAGGGATGCCCACAAAGCCACGTGCACACCCAGATCGATGTGCTAGCCAGCTATGCCAAGAAAACTTAGTGCACTGGTCAGGGACATCTAGTGGAGGGCCAGACCCCGCCTGGCATCAGCAGAAAAAGCTGCACCCCCATGCAGCAGTGAACATAGCTCGTGGCCCGGACGGCCTCCTGTGGACAGAAGCGCCAGCGGCAAGAGTAGCTGAAAAGCAGACTGAGCTAGTTTCCTGCTGGGCCCCACGGTGTCTCAGGTGGTTAGCCTTGGATCTTGGTTTCATTCCAGGTCATGATCTGAGGGTCATGAGATGGAGCCCCACATGGTGCTCTGGCTGGGCATGGAAGCTGCTTGGGATTCTCTTTCTCCCTCTCCCTTTGCCCCTCTCCCGCCTGACTCACATGCTTTTTCTCTCTCTGTCTAATGCTTACGTATGTATGTATATACAGCTTCTGTTTACCAGGCGCTCGCCTGTACTGAATGAGAAAGTACCACATCC